GGGGGGGGGGGGGGGGGGGGGGTGCAGAGGCTGCAGGGTGAGGAGGAGCAGGGCAGGCAAGCAAGGGCATAGAGGCTGCAGGGGCTGCGGGGCGAGTGGGGAGCAGGGAAGCACTTAGCAACCCCCAACCAAGATCAGAGCGGGAGGGAGGAGGGGGAATGCGGGGTGCTTAGAGGAGGGGGCAGAGTTGGGGCAGGGACTTTGGGGAAGTGGTTGGAATGAGGGCGGAGATGGGGTGGGGTTGGGGCGGGGCCGGGGGCAGGGAAGGGGCGGAGTTGGGGCAGGGCCGGGGGCAGGACCGGGGCCCCGTGGAGTGTCCTCTTTTTTAAATGTTTGAATATGGTAACCCTAGTTGAGGTCAATCACCAATTCTGGTACCACATTGTTGACTGCCCTTGTTGCAGTCTCTCTAAGGGTTCCAGCTTTCTCCGAACTGGTCCCCTTCAATTTGCCTCCCATTAGACCTGTCCATAAATTAACCTAAATTGAGTCTATCAGCCCTTAAACTCCAGGTTTGCAGTTGTCTTTTGTCTCCTTTGTCCAGTTTCTTAGAGGCAGCCTGGTGTGAGACTGTTGCCCCTCCGCTATCTCAGACCTTTCTGCCTCCCTTTTCCTCTGTGTTCTTCCTCTTTTATAGCTGGGCTTGTTTTCTTTATTGGCCCACTTGTGGGTTCATGCCTTGGCAACTGCGCAGGGGTATGGACAGCCTGATTGCCTGTAAACAGGGAAGTCTCTTCTCCCATCTGCCTATGCATGGTATGGGGTTTGTAAACTACAAATGGGCATTCTGAAATGAAGACAGACATATGGCCAGATCCTCAGCTGGTTTAAGCTCCATTGATTTTGAAAACAAAGTGATTTATGCCAGCTTAATATGTGGCTCGGTGTTTAGTGAAATGGGGTTGCAAATTATTCATATTAAAATTGCACTGTATCTCACCCTGTTGCAGTCCAAATGCATAACTTGTCTGTTTGTCCAGTTTTCAGACTTGCATGTCTGAGAGACAAGGGGTGGGTGAGGTAATATCTTTTATTAGACCAACTTTATTAAATTGGTCCAATAAAAGATATTGCCTCACCTACCTGGTCTCTCTAATATCCTTGGACCAACACAGCTCCAACACCACTGCATGTCTGAGACAGACTTGGCTATGCCATGAACTATAATCTTCCCTGTCATTGTGCTTGGTAAACTGTCCCCTCCTATAGGTGTAGTTCCCAGTTTGGGACCAGCAGTAGGGCTTTTTCTCTTTTGGTGGGGGCCACCTGGCTGCAGTGTCTGAATTTTGGGAACAGGGTGCAAGGAGGTGTCATAAGTAAAAATGCCTTAAGTGTGAGATTCTCTGTGGGAATCAGGAGTTGTGGTTATAAGTTTCAAGATAGGGAAAGATAGGTTAAAGCTTCCACAATGTCTAAACTTCCACTGTGACTAAGCTAAGCTAGAGAAAGAGAAAAATAAGCTAGAGCAGTGGTTCTCAACCAGGGGTATGTTTACCCCATGGCTACTTAGAGGTCTTTCAGGGGGTACTCAACTCATCTAGATCAGTGTTTCTCAACCTGGGGCTTGCAGCCCCAAGGGTGGTCATGGGATAGGTTTAGGAAGGTAACAAATGCAGGGCCGGCATGAGGAGGTGACAAGCAGGGCAACTGCCCAGGGCCCCACGCCATAGGGACCCCCTGCGAAGCTAAGTTACATGCTTCAGCCCCAGGTGGTAGGGCTTCAGCTTCACTGCCTGGCGGCAGGGCTTGGGCTCCAGTCCTGGGGCGGCAGGCCTTATGCTTCAGGCTCACATTTTAGTATGATACTTAAGTACAATATTTATATTCCAATTGATTTATTTTATAATTATATGGTAAAACTGAAAAAGTAGGCAATTTTTCAGGAATAGCGAGCTACGTAGCTTTTGGGGCCTCACATTCTATCCAAGTTCTAGCAATGAGATTGGAGGTGGCTAAGGAAAAACTTGCCACCAGACCAGTTTACACCCTCTGGAATTTGTTGAACAAATTCCCCCTGTTCCAGAAGCATGTGTGTGCGTGGCGGACTGGGAAAGAGAGGGTGGTGCCTGTGACACTAAGCACCCCTGTGTTCACACCCTACACACTATCGTAATAATCTTTGTACAAAATATGCCTTGAAGGGTATAATTTGAAAACACAGGGCAATAACATCATGGAAAAATATATGTAGCAACATTTATATGTATAGTTATGAAATCCCCCTGTACATAGGTGCCAACTTCCCCAGTTCCTGGGGGGTGCTCAACTCCAGTTCCCGCTCCCACCCCTGCTCTTCCCCCAAGTCCCCCCCACTTCTTCCTGCCCCCACTCCTCCCTCTTCTCTCCCCTCCTCCCCCACCTCCTGAATGCCCCTGAATAGCTGATTGTGGCAGGCAGGAGGCATTGGGAGGGAGGTGGAGGAGCTGATCTGCGGGGCTGCCAGTGGGTGCTGAGCACCCACTTTTTTTTTACGTGGGTGCTCTGGGGCTGAAGCACCCACGGAGTCGGCACCTATGCCCCTATATGTGGTTATTAGAACATGTTCAAAACCACACAGCCCTGCCTAGGCAGAAGTTGTTAAATAGGTCTATCCTAAACAAAGGAATGTGTGTCTACTTCAATTTACATATAAGTAATAAACAGGGTCCTCCAGAAAACATGGGGAGGAGATGGCAGGAGACAAAGCAAATTTGCATTTCAGCAAAGACAGGTGAAGAGAGAGCATAGAGCCTCCTTCACCACCAGTCTGCCTGTCACCTTCTTTACCACTTGAATAAACTTTACTTTGATGGGTAACCTTCAAAAGAATCCACTTCAAAGGTTCAGTGGACTATAAAAGAGAGGGGCAGAGAATCTCAAGTTATGTCTCTTACCTTTGGGGTACTACTAGAGATCCTGACCCAGGAAAGGGATAGTCACCATCTTGCTGGAAGACTGTAGGTGAGAAAAGCTATCTTAAACAAACCCTGATCCAAAACCTGCTAGATTGTTTATTTGACTTTTAGATGCATATTTTCACTTTTATTTGCTGGTAACCATTTCTAACTTTATCTCTTATACTTGAATTCACTTAAAATCCTATCTTCTTTTTTAATAAACATGTTTCATATTTTTTAATATAAACCAATCCAGTGCTGTGTTTAAACTGAACTGTTCGGTAATTCCAGTTAAAGTGGCAGACTGTTGACTATCAACTCTTTACAGGAGCAACAGTTCTTAATACCTAAACTGTCCAAGAGAGTAGTATACGGTGCAGAAGACACGTTTTTGGGTAAATTGAGGACTGAGTGTGTGTTGGGGTCACCCTGCAAGTAGTAACCAAGGCTGCTAGAAGCCAGAGTATGACTGGTTTGTTGCTGACAGGCTGCTGGACCGGAGCTGTAGCTATGCTCAGACACTCAAGGTGTGACCTGCATGCTGGCAGGCAGTTTGTGAGCAGCCCAGGTTGGGAGCTACAAGAGCAAAGCATTGTGAGGCACCCAAGATTTCAGGGCAGGTGGTGATGCAACTCTTCTTTGGTCTGGATTGCACCCCAGAATGTGACTGAGCCTCCTTCCTGGGAGCCCTGAAAATTGAAGATACTATTCTGGAGACTTGTCTACTTAACTAGCTTCATCAAACAAGGCCCTGCTGTAATGTGAGAACGTACAATTAGACTCTTTTTGCATAGTGTTTCCTTATTAAGAATGGTCATTTCTTTTCTTTTTGAACTAACATGCCATGTCCTCACTAGTCACAAATCTGTCAGCAAATATCCTGAGCAGTTAACTGTGAATTGCTGAGTAAGTTATTTGTACAGCTGAGTAGATCTTTCAGCCTGTTACCATTTTGCAGCTCATTATTTAATACTTGCACTGTATGTGGGTTGATGTGTGAGAGTCTCATTTGAGTTCCAGTTTATCCAAGTCACTTATTCATACTTCCTCCCACCTTGCCCTTGCAGTAGTCTGTGTCTGTCGTTCCAGTATTTTCATCACCCCTCCCTTTAGAGCCAGGGGTGTACAAAACCAAAACATGTCAAATTTTAAATATGCAGCAAGCCTAGACAAGGGAGCAGAGTGGGCTCCAGCTGAAGCTGGAAATCCAAGCATTAAGGTTGTGCATGATGCCACTGAGAGACATAGGGCAGTAGTGAGTTGCCTGAGAGAGAATTTCTGAAAACTATCATAGAACTGCACAAAACCTAAAGCCAAGGCAATCAAAAGAGAAGAGCGAATATTTAATGGAATGAAATGGCTTTATATTGATTTAAATAGCACTGTCACTCTAGAGCCACTGATCAGTGTGTATTTTGTAAAAAATTAGAACACAGGATGCAAACAGAGTTACTGAAGTACTTCATGGAAAAGCAGGACACCTTGTGCAAAGAACTGGAGGTAATTTTTTTTTTTTTTTTTTTTTTTTTTTAGATTTAATAAAACAACCCCCAACTTGAGTAAATGGTGTACCCACAGCAAAGATCCTTCAGTACTGAGCTGCATCATTAGCTATATTTATTATTTGTATTGAAGTAATGCCTGACGGGGGTTCTGTATTCCCAGGCACTGTACATTTACAGTAATGGAAAGATGCTCTGGGGACCATAGAGCTAGCAATATATTCCAGCAGCCTGATATCATACCAGCTTAAAAACCGTGCTAGTAATTTTCTGATGTCATGTGGGGAATTTTGGGAGTAACTATGAGACTCTCCATAGTTGCAAAAGAGATACTGTTGCTTGCCTAAAAGGGGGACTAACTTGAACTGATGGGTTTTAGCACCTTGTTCTAGATCATCGTAAATTGTAGTCAACAGGGGCCTTGGGCTTTAACTCTCAGAATTCAGACATTTTCACAGAACGTATCTTCAATACACACTTTTGCTATGCTGAGCCATGTGAAAGTCCCTTGTCTATGTATTATTGCTTTCTTTCCTCCCCAGAGCAGATGAGTTAATTTTTAAGAAACTTTGCCTATTTGTGTATTCCAGTTGGATGTTCTTTCCAAATTCTAACATTTAAATACTTGTATTAAGAAGAGAGATTAAAATATTGCTAAATTAAGTCTTTTCCAGTCTGAATATGAGGCTGTATAACAATTGAAGTATAATATACCTTTCAAAAGATTAGATTAAATTGATTCTATACATTTTTCTCATTGAGATTTTAGCAGTAAAATATAATTCAATACTATAATGACTTGAAAATTACTTACAAATATAATTTAAGTTTTTACATTTATACCCAGTTCTCTCAAGGATTTTTTTTTATTGCCAGCTCAAAATTGATGTTTTGTAGTAAAAAATTGTAATTTTTAATTCCACTTCAGGAACCCCTATGAACATTGAATATTATCTATCTCCATATCAAGTTCTGGAAGAAGAGCTGAATCCTGGTAAAAATGGATAAACAGTAAAAATTAAAATAGTGTTAGCTTATTTTTTTGAACTGGAATTTAGTTTTTACAATTGTAGTCTGAAAAGAATCCAGTGTACTTAAAGGGTGAACTCACATGGTGCAGTAACTATCTTTCTACAATACGAGTTTCCTTTCGAGCAGAAGATCGCTAAATGGAATTGGAAACAATTTAAGGTTTCACTACATCCAAGTTCATATGCAAGATGGTTCCTTGTAAGTGGAACAACTAGAATGACATTTCTGTATCCTTTGGTTCTTCATGATTGGCACTAAGGTGGGAACAAATTAATTTGTAAACTGCTTGTTTAGCAGAGTCCAGAAAGATGCATGCAATTTGTGGCAAACAAAGCCCTGTGATGCACTTATTTAGTGCAGGGACATGATTGTTCAGGAAACTGGAGACTTTGCCACTTCTAGGTTGCTGGTACTAATTAAGACCTGCATGGTAGCAACCAAAAGTCATTCAGTGACCTGTATGAAATGAACTGGTGATCCTTTGGTTCTTAATGAAGACATGCTCATGTCACAAAAGAGCGTCAGCTATAATGGTCAAACTGGCATCATTGGCAATCTGGGTTAAGGCAATCTTTGGCTAGGTGATGGAGATCTTGCATTGTAGCTGTCTAGGTTGTGCCTGCACTATAGATGACTGGAAGACATCAGGCCTTCTAGTCTGGCACCTTTCACCAGCAGTATGTTCATCTATATTTTCATAAGGGAAAAAAATGCACTGACTCATACCTGTCTTCTTTCTTCCCTCAGGCTCCCAAGTATGTGGAACAAAAGTATTTGTAACGGTTGGAAGTTCAAACACAACACACAAACTTCCCATTTCTCCATTAATTGTGGATTCTCAGGCAGGAGATGGGTGAGATTCAAAGGCACTATTGACATTTCTGAACATATAAATGGATTTTCAAATCAAATGACATTGACATCATTTGTATTGATCCTATAACAGAGATGCAAACCCACTGCTAGACAAGAGCAACACTACTGTATTGATGGCATTATCCCTCTTGGGAATACTCTGCATAATCAGATGACTGTTTTCCCAAAAGAGTTTAAAATTATATCCAAGTTCATATTAACTGTATGAATTCCATGGGATCATAAATCTTAAGATCAGAAAGGACCAATGAGATGATTGTCTGACCTCCTGTACAACATAGATCATAGAACTTCATCCAGTAATTCCTGCATCAAGCTCCTAACTTTAAATATCAATTAAGTGTATTGTAATTAAATTGTGTAACATTTTAAACTGTTTGCATGACCACTCCTAGGACAGCATCATTTAATCTGACTGTCTGAACAGGTAATACAAGGGGTAGGCTTGAGGGGAAACTCCCCTCTTACCCCCACTGAAAATGAACCACACTGCACTGATTTATAGCTAGAATCCTGCCTGTTTTTGTGGCCCACCTTCCTTCTCTATCAGTCTTCATATAGACTTTGCTTTATGACATCTAGTCTATACTTGCATTTTCCAGAGGGAGATTTTTCTTGAGGTGGGAAGAGAATCATCTATACCATATGTGTGTCTTCATTTTACCCTGGGCACTAAGAATCCTTGTCACACCAGTGTCTTCTTTAACAAGCTTGCCTTTCTACCCGTTTTTCCTCAGCAACCCTGCTTTTTTACCACTTACTGATGAACTCAGCATGGATTTGTCAGCTTGCTTTTTCTTGACGTTTCATCAGCCTTTTCCTATGTCCTCATCCAGTATTCAAGAGATACAGAAGCTTACAGGCATGTTTAATTATCTGTTAGATTAAATATTTTTGAGTATTCTACATAGCTTGTTTCCTTTTTACCTCCCTCATGCTAATTTTGCAGGAGATGTGTCCAGATTTTCTACCTTCTCTGTGAAAGAAAATCCTCTGATTAGTATTCCTATCAGCTCAGATGTGATTAGCACATTATTAATGTGCTATCATGTAAATGTGACCTGACATTGGAAAATAATATGCAGAGGACCAAGAATAGAAATGACGATATAAGGAGAAAGGATAGCCTTGTGAGTAAGGCACTGGACTGGGACATCAGGATTTAATATGAAGCTATGATAGACTTCCTGTGTGATCCTGGTCAAGTTTCTGTGTATCAATTCCCAATCTGTAAAATTGGGGTAAACACTTCCCTATCTTCTTTATGATGACTGTTTGTTTGTAAAAATGGAATGAACATTTTCCATGTCTCATGAATAACTACAAATCAATCCAGAAATACTAATCTAAAAATTACCTGGCTTTAGGAATTTCAATTGATGGACTGAAGTTAGCTTCTCTTCATGCACTGATTGTTCAATTTACCTTTAATGATGAGTACAAGGAAGATTTGGCCGTGAATAATTCTTGTTTCTTTGTGGTATGTATGTTCTGACTTTTGATACATGCAAGTCATTTTGTTCTTATTCTTTGTCTGCATTTATGTGGTTAAGTAAACACTTTTTGTATGTCAGTAAGCAATGCCAATAGTCAGGAATCCTGACATAATTGAATGCCCATCAGGGACTATATTATTCCAATTTTTTTTAACTCTGTCAACCCCCTTACTTTTAAATAATTTAAGGCAATTTGACACCTTTATAAAGGTGATAAAGGAGACATTATTTTGTGTGTAGTAACTGGAGTCATGTCAATTGTATGTGGTGATCGTGTGTTTAAAGCATTTAGCCTAAGTAAATTTGTCTACCACTTTCCCTCTAATTCCTTCAAAAGCAGAATTTGTTAGTGACTAGTCTCAAATCTGAGATTCTCCAGTATATCCAAGATGCTTCCCAGGTAGATTTTCAGTTTTAAAATCTTTAGCATAGATCATGTCACTCCATTTTAAATCTGATTAAAAATGGAATTTCCTACTGCATAACAGTAAGAGTAGTGAATTTACTATTTGTTATAGTCTTTATTACAATGAGTGGCAGAAAGAATGTAAAAAATTAGTCACTCCTTTAGTTAATCAGATTATACATAAATTTAACTGATTTCTTTTTGAAATGTTTTTTGTGTTTTTTGTTTTGTGGTACATAGTGGTTAAAAACAATAGTTTCATAGTTAGTATTATGATCGCTCCTAGACTGAGGCTATTTTGCATATTTAGAAATTACTTGAAAATAACCTTAAATATAAATTTTAAAGACTGCCGAGATTTAGTACTGGTGTAAGATGTTGGCAGGACAGCCCTGGTGGGTGAAAGCCACTGTTTATCTACAAAGCAGTGGCAGGGCAAATTTCCCACATCATCTGCTTTGCTAGCATTCCTTAATTCTGAAAGGGGGAGGGGGGCAGTTGGAGAAGAGGGCACTTCCTCTACAGATAACAGGGATAACTACATGGCCTATGTAGTTCTTGGTCTCTGCAGTGTGGCTGTTTTGCAGGGCAATGGTGGGTGAGTTTTTATAATGTGATAGCTGCAACAGAGACCCACCAAAGTCCTCCTCTTTAGAGGCCACTATATATCCATTAGATGGAAATAACTTTAATCTCTACAGAGCTGTGCTGGATATGGGTGAGAGACTCTGTAGCTTATTAGCAATGCCCTAAGGCATCCAGTTTCCTACCAAGTGCTAATGTTACACGTTCAAGAACGAAGACTTTCTTTCTGGAAAAATAAGCTTATTAAATTAATTGCTGACCTTTTTGAAGATTTAAACAGGGAGGGTCTCTCCCCCTCCACCCTCCCCCCCCTTTCTGGACACACAGGTAAAATTCTACACCCGACCCTGCCCAATTGCTCCTTAATATGCACTCAGTTAAGTGCCCTGCTCTGCTCTTAAAGCAACAGCTCCCATTTGACCAAGGCAGAACCAGTAAGGTTATGTCTAGACAGCAAATGAAGGTGTGATTGTAGTGTGTCCAGGGTCTCCAGAGGGCTTGTGCTAAGGTGGGCTAAGCTGCCACATCTTCACTACCACTGTTACCTATGCTAGTGTGGATTTTCTTATGCTTGCCACAATCATACCCTCACTTGCTGCACAAATATATTCTAAAATTACATTAAAACAAATATCACATCTAAATAAACTTCCGAATATGTTTTGCAAAATAAAATTGCTTCAGCAATTATTCCAGAGTCCTTGCACTAAAAAGATTAGATCACCCTTTTCCCCTCAAATGAGTCGCTAGGTGGGTTTGAACCCACACCCTTTGTAGCTGCCCATAAACCTCTTCTAATTTAGCTGTAGGAGCAATCAATGGCAGAAACAAGTTATTTGGTAGTTGGACCACCCCTAGATGGTCCATGCAATACATGCTCTGCTAGTTGGTTACACAACTATTTGTGAGACTATGGAACACTGGGGTGACCGGGGTCCTAGTGGGGACCAGCTGTGATCAGTCAATTAGGGTGAACTGCAAAGAATGGGGGAGACAATCCCCATAAAGCTGTTGGATATTCCAATACTTAGATTTACCAAGCCAGCATAAAACAGCTTCTTTATTACCTTCCTGGTTACTCAGAAGTCCAAACACCGTTCCCTTAAAGTGATCCAGCCTCAGGCCTCCCTCCAGGTACCCACATCAAATGTGATGAAAATTTCTGTAAATCTTATTTCATCATATAAAAGAAAAGGTTCTACCAATCCCAAAGGATCAGACACATTACCTCCCAGGTTATTGAATATTCCAGATCTTATCCAAATACACACTACAGCCAATTCTTATTAACTAAACTTTATTTAAAAAAAAAAGAGAGAGAGTATGGTTAAAGGATCAATATACATACAGACATGAGTTCAATTCATTTAGGTGCAGATTCATAGCAGAGATGGTGAGCTTTGTAGTTGCATAGAGTTCTTTTAGAAATAGTTCATAGGTTATAGTCCAATGTCCAAATATCATATTCACGGTGTACTAGCATAACTGGGACTTTAGTCTTTTGACTCCAACTTCTCCTGATGAAGCCTAAGCAGATCTGAGATGACAGAATCAGGATCCAAAGATCTTTTATACAATTTCATGTCTTTTGACAAGTTGGAGTTCAAAAGGTAATTAGCATGACTTTGAAGGAGGTCCCTCACCGGTACTTGGCTATAGAATTAACATAAGGCAATTTGCTTTTTCTTCCACCATTCACAGATTATTTGCTATACACTTTAAAGAGGGATGACTACAGAGATATCCCGTGTTTACAATTCATTTAAATGCTAGGATTTTCTTTTGATCTCTGAAGTATCAGAATATAGCATAGACCGGGACTGTTGATTACATGGTCTGCCCTACTCATACATATGTAAATACACAAAAACACAAACATTATCTCCCCACATGTCTTTTGGGGGTTATTTATTTTGCAGGATGTTTAACCCTTTCTAGCCATGCATCACAACTGGTTATCAGGATTCCTGACTCTGGGAAAAGTGTGGTGAAGAGATAGCACAGCTAAGCACATTCCTTCTGAGAGGCAGTATGGGAAAGTGAATGAGATTAGGGTCTGTCAGGTGAGAGCACTCTGTTCACGGCTTGGCCTGAAATATCCTCTCTTTCTGTTGTTTTACCTGTATAATGACTGAATGATACTAACGTTTCCTAAATTAAAGGTAAAAGGCTGTTAATTTCGCTATGACCTTCACCGCCCTTATTAACAGTCCTCACAAGAACAACTGAGACTAGGGCCTTGGCTACACTTGTGAGTTACAGCGCAATAAAGCCTCCCAGAGCGCTGTACCTCATTCTCTGTCCGCACTGGCAAGGCAAGTACAGCGCTGTATCTCCATGGCTTCAGCACTGCTGGTACTCCACCTCCCCGAGAGGAGTAACGTTTGCTGCGCCTTGGCTACAACTCCCGGGTGTCAGTGTGAACGAGGAGTTAACTTACTGTGCTGTGATAATCCCCCTATCAAGTGGCCACTCTTCTCATTGTTGTGATCGGCTGCAGGAATGCGGAAGTGCCGTTTCAGAGAGAAAAAGCAAACATTTTGCTGTTTGCTGTGAGTGAGTGAGAAGCAGGAGGGTCTGAACTTACAAGACAGCGTGCTGACACACTCTCAGCACTCCAAAAACCCACTCTCTCTCCCCCCACTCCCTGTCACACTCCACCCCCCCCTTTTGAAAAGCACGTTGCAGCCACTTGAATGCTGGGATAGCTGCCCATAATGCACCACTCCCAATGCAGCTGCAAATGTGGCCATGACAGTGCGCTGTCAGCTGTCAGTGTGGACAGACTGCAGCACTTTCCCTACTCAGCTGTACGAAGGTGGGTTTAACTCACAGCGCTGTACAGCTGCAAGTGTAGCCATACCCTAGAACTCACGGTCTTTTGGCATGAAGCTCAGTGCAGATTATCCTGTGTTAAAAGGTATTTTTGCAGGAGAGGGGCTTGGTCTCAGTTGACTCAGTTTCTGAGTGATATTTTCATTGAGGTGTGGCCAGGGATTTCAGACTTGACAGATGTGTGCCCCACAAAAGACTTTTTTGGTACCAGATCCATTGTAACATTTTAGTATCAGGACTAGCCATCTTGCCTTTCCAAGTTTCCATTCCTCACAAAAATAAGTATTTCTTCATCAGTCTCTTCCAGATTGCCCGAAGCACAGTTATTTCATAAATAAGGGCACAGAGAAATCAGGTATAACAGGAGCCCTCGTCAGTAAAATTCCATTTACCCATCCAAAGTGTGTACCTGCTATAATTGAGATTCTTCGGCATCAAGTGGCATATAACACTCTTATTGGCAGCTGTCTCTCTGAGAACACTATAAATGAAGGTAAATTGTATGTTATGAAGTTGTGTGTTTCTCTGTAATAGTCTGCTGATTTGTTTTGTATTTGTAAGTTGGATGTCCCCACCACAGCAGGTGCATTCTCCAAATCCACTGCTATTTACAAATTGTTTGAAATGACTGAATTCTTATCAGCATCCTTAGTTTTTGTGTAGGGCTCTCTGTAGGTTAAATATTTCAAGTAGCACACCTATGTCTGACCCAATATTTAGTTTCCAGAGGCAAACTGAACTGCAGAGTGACAATAATTAGATTCTGAGTTGCCAGCGTTTTGAATGGCTAGTGTATAATTCACTTAAATGGGGTTAAGTTTAAATAAACTAAGTTATTAAATGAAGTTACTGCTTTACAGATTGCTCAGAGCTGCTTTATTTTGAAGTGTCTCCACAAAAGGGCACTAGCTTTTCCATCTCATTCCAGCATCCTATGGGGGAGAGTTTAGCCTGTGGTAAGTGTGGAATATTCAACACTGCTGCTTTTTTGTGTGTGTGTGTGTGTGTGTGTGTGTGTGTGTCACGTTTACAAATATCTTTGTTCTATCAGGACATGGGTTTCAATTGTACTGTGAATCTCAATCTTCCTAAACTTTACTCTTCTGCGTGTTTATGTATATAAATAAACAGGAAATGCTTTGTTAAGGTTGCCCAGTTCAAAACAAAGTCAGGGAATGTAGAAGAATTAAGGCCCTGGTTCTGCAATGCATTGAACACGGGTATATTGAGACTGCCATACGCCCATAGAGCCCCACTGAAATCAGTGGGATGGGGCCTTATAGTTCCTACAGCAATAGTAATTGAGCTATATAAGCACATTCTGTTTATTATGGTAAATATAACCATTAAATATTAATGTTACATGTCTTAATTTCCATACTTGGATCAAAGGGAAATATTCAGGGGTTATAAATAATATTGCTAGACCTTTGTAAACACACACAATTTTGAAATGTCCATATTTTTTCCTATTCAGTGGTAGCTGATGTCTTGAGCGCCAGACAAATCAGATGCAGTCTTCATACAAATCCTCAAGATGTAACTCTAAATTGCTGCAATGACTTTATCACAAGAGTCATGGAGCGGTAAGTGTTCTACTCTAAAATGTTTGGGACACATATAAATTGTCTATTAATGGTAATTTTTATGCATATTCAGAAATAGTAAAAACTACCATCCCTATGATCAAATGAACTTGTTTATTAAAAAGTGATGGAACAAAAGATTGTCTTTAGTAAATGCAAAGTATATTTTAGTTCTCAAAGAAAGGTGTCACTTTTCTTTGCATATCATATTTATTCATTTACCCAATTTGAATTAGTGATATGTTTATTTACACTAGCACTTCTTGTGTCTGCAACTAAGACTTCTTTACAGTAGGAAGTGAGAAAACATTTTGAAAGTTAGACATTTCTTTTTATCCTCTTAAAAGGGGCCCAGTGCTCAGCTGGAAATGCATCTGTTTAGTCACACAACTGGTACAGCAGAAGTAGCTGCAGTGCAAGTTTTCCCATGCTGTCTTAGCATCATGTGCCTCCTGTGTTCTAGAGGGCACCACCTCCGGGGAGTGAGCAGTTCATTTTCCATGTCTATTCAATTCTTCCCATCTCTACTGAGATGAGGATGTTATGCTCATACAAAGCACATCTAATGGCCAGTTAGATTGAGCACGAGTGTGGAGCTGGGTTTTGTCGGTCGCAATCCGAGACTTTGCAGGACTGAACCCAGAGTTCCATGGCAAAACACCCCAGCTTTATAGTTGTAAATTCCCATTTGAGTCCATGCATTTTGCAATGTCATCCTGTAATCATTAGTCCTTAAGTGGTGTTATCATTTGATGGTTATTGTCGGGCTTCCCATCGTTATCTCTTATTTGTTGGCACCCCCGAAGGCGAGACTGCCTCACCTCTGAGGTCGTCAATGTTGCTAACATCGGATACAATGGATGTTTTCTGACTGTCTCCTGGTCTTTCCAAGTCTCTCAGTCTCTTACTTCTTCTTGACCATCTGGACATTTGTGATGGCTTTCACACCTTATCTTTTCCTGATTCACAGAAACCTTTAAAGGTATACGTACAGCAGTATTGTATATTCAGTTGAATACATTGTAAATCAAGCCTTGCTAAATCTTATAACTAAAACAATTCACATTGGGGTTTCAGGCCCTCAACATTCCTCTAATCTTCTTAACATAGATACAATAGAGAATCCTGTCTCTTACTTCCTAATTTGTAATACATATAGGAAACCATAGTAGCTTTATAACTTATTTTAAAACAAAAGGGTGACCATAAGGATTGTTCTGGTCTGTCATTCCTTTCTGCTATTCAAAAGGGGTGGCTGACAGGATGAAATCAAATCATACATTAATTCTCATAGTACATCATAAAATCCAGCTCCTACAAGGGGTCCAAACTGTGTGGGGCTGCTGTGGAATGAACATGGATAGACTAAGTGGACTGAGACCACTAATTCACTTCATCCAGGTCAATAAACAGTTGTCCAATTGGCAGTAAGTTGAATGTAGGCTGGACTTGAACCATGAATTTAAGCAACAAGATATGGGAAAACTGCTGCTGCAGCTAGAGCATTGTACATTTGAGCTCCCGCTATTGCTAATTCTGCTTCAGCTGAACCAGTACCATAGGCGCCGACTTCTGCTGGCGCCAGTGGGTGCTCGACCCCCCCCCCCCCCGCCCTTGCCCCTGCCCCCATTCCAACCCCTTCCCCAAATCATCGCCCCCGCCTCCTCCCCTGAGCGTGCCGTATTTCTGCTCCGCCCCCCCTCCCTCCCAGAGCTTGTTATGCCACGAAACAGCTGTTTTGCAGTGGCAAGCGCTGGGAGGAGAAGCAGGAATGTGGCGTGCTCAGGGGAGGAGGCGGAGGTGAGCTGAGCTGGGGCGGGAAGCTTGGCTGCTGCACCCACCAATTTTTCCCCTGGGTGCTGCAGCCCCGAAGCACCCACGGAGTCGGTGCCTATGAGTGGTACAGACAGTAGAAACCCCCTTTTTTTGTAAAAAGGCCCTACTGTGGATAATAAGTCAGGACTGAGGCGCTGTATGAAGTTTTAAAAGAATACATCGCATGAGAATTATCTAAAAACTATAGTTTTCTAATTGTAAGGTGAATGCTGTCAACTTAAGCTCTCATTAAAAGTAAAACCCTAAAACCCAAACTTGGAACTAGCTAAGGGGATATCCTAAGATATTTTTTTTTTTTTTTTTTTTAAACCAAGACTTTCATGCAGTCCTCTGGATATCTAAGAATATGAGAAGCCATATTAGCTAACTGAAGAGTTACACACACCAAGATAACTTCTGATTCAATAATCCATATTTTCCCACAGAAAAGATGGATCACTTCAGCAAGCTAGTCTGCTTTTTTTACAATGGCTGAGACTGAGTGGTTGACGTTCTCAACTCCTTCTTTTCCCCCCCTCAGTTGTATGTCTGTCCCTCTTGTCATGAGAGCTATTTTCAAGAATGCTGTCACAATGAAAGTTGATGGTGAAATACAAAATATGGAAGTTATCTCTGAGCAAAATCCTGAAGTGACCTGCAAGCAAACTACGTCTTCTAACAGTACCGGAGCAAATATTTCTGGAGCCAGCATGCAAAATTCATGTGATGGCATGGAGACAAGCAGCTCCACGGCCAGTATTGAGTGTGCGATTTGTGATATATCAGTATAACTAAAGCAAATACTCATCTGATGTTTACTGTGGTTCCATGTCACTTTTTTTGTAGTGTGATCAATAGACATTGTTTCAAGAAACAGTAGAGGAGAACTTGGCAAGATCAATACTTCTGTCTAGCAGGATTTCCTCTTAGAATTAAATCTTTTCAACCCTGCATATTGCTAAATTAAAAAAAACCAAACTTTTTTTTGAGAATATAAACGCAAATTTGAAAAGTCAAATTATCACTACTGTAGCAACCTTAATTTAACCCATCATGCATATATGGGCATGTAGTTATTTAGGTGGTGGTTGTTTGTTAAATATTTGTAGGTGTACATATAATACAACATGCAATGTGGCCAAGTTATATTGCTGTAACCTTAAGATTTTGTTTTCTTTCTTTGTGCGGTTCCATTTATTAAACCATAATGTTGCATTAACATTTTTTTTAACATGTAATTGAAAAATTTGTAAGAAAGGTGGAAGGGGAAAGGAACTATTGTTTGAAACTGTCTGCTAGTAAGCTATTTTGTGCACAAATGCAATTTGATGCAAATGAGTTTTGACTTATTTATTTGTACCAGTCCCCATGGAACTGTGTAGTAAATTAAAAGCTTTCCCCCCTCCTGTATTGGTTTAATGTCCTCTTTTTGCAAAAAGAGTTCTGGATAATAGGGGGGTATGGGTAATACAGGTGTGCAATAAAATAATTTTGCAAACAAATGGCTGTGTAATTTTTTTTTAGTTAAATTCTGCCCCATGACTTGTATTCATGAAGGATTAGCCTACTATTAGGCTTGAAAACAAACTTCAGTTGTTGGAGTACAAAAATGTTACAGCAGAATTATGGGGGTTTTGTGGGTTTTTTTGTTTTTAACTACTCTCAAATCCACTCACTGTAGGTGGTAAGCAAACCCTCCAAATTTGTTTTTGGCCTCTGACTAAACATGCTTTCAACCAGATGAAAACTTATGTAGTGGCAACTTAAAACAGGAATAGATAGTGAGAAGTCCTCCTCAGCATTCTTGTCTTGTAGGTGCTAAAATTGACTTATATAGTGAGAAATGTGCATAAGATAGTACTGAACAAATGAATACTGACTTACTAAACAAAACCAGACTTCATGCCCAGAAGAATTTGCAGTCAGCTTAAACAAAATCAACAACAGAAAGTGACAAATGCAGCATGTTAGGATAAATAAGGAGACAGCTATAAGAAATGTGGCTGGTTATGGGAGCAGTGTGTAGAAAATTGTGGCTAATATGCCTGTGGCACAGAGTCACCTGTTCAACTAGTCTCAGACCTGACAAACCCTGTAAGCAGTATATTTGGTGTGGTATTTGTCCATAAAAAGTAAAATGTAAGGTCTCTGATAAGTTGCATGCTTTCAATAATGTTCATAATTACATCATGCTGTGAGTACAGGTACTATTTAAGCATAACTAACTGGAAACAGCTGAAGGAGCAGGAAAGCATTCTTTGAAGCCTGAAAGAGTGTGATCGATTATGTCTCAGTAGAAAAGGCAGGGGAAGAAGAACAGATATGGTAACTTTATAAGAGCCGTTTTAGTAGAGGGGTATGGCCAAGTCAGATTTCAGGGAAACTGGTATGCCAAGCAGTAGGAGCAGAAAGTACCTTATAAAAGTTTAAAGAGGGAAAAGGGTGGCAATTGCATTTTTAAAAAAAATCTTATGGTGCACCATAAGGTTTTTTTAATTGAATTAAATATTAAAATGAGTTAACAAGGCCTACAATGAGGCTAAAATTTCCATCCACAAGAGACTCTGGTCCTGTGATAACCTTATTACAATATTCTAGCTTCCATTTTGGCTTTCCCCTAAGATGTAGAATAAACCTTTTTTCATTTTTGTTACCTGGTATATTTAATGCCTTAAGGATTTGCAACTCTTATGCAGATTACCTGTCCATCTAATCCAGTCTCTTGTCTCCCACAGATGGTGATAATGCTGATGTTTCAAAGGAAGATGAGAACTCTAGATATGGCAAAAAATTTAGTACCCTGCAATACCCAAAATAAGGATATGAGAGAGGGAAAATAATTCTCACCAACACAAGCAAAACCCACTTCACTCATTTGGCATGACAGGTACTATTACCCATATTTTGAATTAGGGGTCAGACACTGCTGTGCATAACCACATCAGAAGGCACAGTGAGTCTCCACAGCTTCATCCCCATCACTTCCCAAGCAAGCCACAAAATCCCCCCCTCCCCCCCTTTGTCTCTGCAGAGAGCAGCCATAGTACTCTGGCTCTGCACTTCACACAATAGTTGTGCTGCATTTTGAGTACCTTACACCTACAGCGGAACTGGCCTACATCCTCTATTGTATGTAGCCAAATGCACAATGCCATACGTGGGTGGCAATTTTTTTTTAAACCTTTGACAATCAGATGCATTACCACAAGTGGCAAAAATCATCCAAGATTTTCCTACTATATAATTGATATCCAGTGACCAACAGATTTTAAAGTGATATTCAAGATGTATGCAGTTTTGCTTAGATCCTCTTGCCTTTGCTAGTTTAAGTAGCTTTCTTGGAAAGTTACACATATAAGGTGGCAGGCACTGCTTTAGAATATGCTCAAGTACACTACAGTTCTACTTTAAACAGAGAAACTGAAGTTAACTGCCCAGTCTTAATATTTACAGCTTGATAAAATACTGGTGAGGGGAGAGCCTTTTGTGTTTTAACCTCCTGCTTCAGATGAAGTTTTGTCCTGGGTACTGTAACCAGTTTCAGTGAAGTGATGCTCTGAAAGCAGAGCTAACTACACCAGAGATTTGCGATACACAATTTGATGTAATGCAAGTCTTTGTTCTATTCTGAACAAATTAAATTGGCAAAACATCACTCAAATATTTAAACAGAAAGAAACAGGTGCTGCCTATTTCTGTATGTGCAGTTCCCACTTGTTCAAAGGAGTTCTCCACCCAGACTACCTTCTAAACCGAATAGCAATATTTATTTTATTTTTGGTACTCTAGGAGCAACTGTTTTCTAGGGATAAGACTCAGAAAAGGAACTGAATGATTCTTGAAAGAGAATATTAAAAAGGGCAAATTAAATAAATTAGAGGAAAATGTTAGATTCCTAGACAGTAGCAGACACATTAGTGCCGCTGCAGAATTAGACAGCTATGCATTTGTGTATATGAAGTACTTTCCACCTATTCAAGTTAAATTTAGGTGTGAAAGCAACTTTTTTTGCTGTTATTGCCAACAACTGAGCTATGACAGAATATGATGAGCAAGGGTTGTTTTATTAGATTTTAAAGGGAAACATTACAATCAGATCAGTACATTCCCCCATGAAATTAAATGACTAGTATGACGACCAACCTTTGAGCCACACATAAAATACAAGCCTGTCAAGTTTGTTCTTAGAATTGGATTCCATTTGGCACAAGAGAAAAGTTAACTTTCCAGTTGTTGGACATGCTGTAATATGTCCAGTGACAAGCCTAGCTGCTCTCCTAAACAGACGGTCTCTTCTTTAAGCCAAGCAAGGGTTGGCCTTTCAGAATGTGTGTGTTCTTTTGTTCTCCTACAACTGTCTGAATACAAGGAGTCAGCCCCACCGTTACTCCTGCAAGAGTTTTCACTCAACTCAGACTCATTTTCACACAGTCTTCCAGCTTCAGTTTCATCAAATTCATTCTCCACTGGAATTGTATGACTAAGGTCCATGTCCTGAACAGAATCCAGTAACTCTCCAAGGTGGGGCTGTGGACTGATAGAATTCATATACTTAAGCACACATTCTTCATACTTGCCAACTTCAGCCAGGAGGTTATTTATCTTACTCAGCAAAGCAGAAATTTGTCCATTAAGGTGACACCAAGACAAGAGTGCACTGAAAAGAAAAACAAAACAGGTGGAAATAAACGTGATTCTGAACACCTGCAGTGAGTTGCATGTTTGCTTGAGATTGGGTGAAAAGGTGACTAAAGTTAAAAAGTCATTCCATTTTTGTGTGTACATTTCATGCATGTGTGTTTCAGGAAATTTCAACAGGAAGAGCTGAATGTTCAGCCAAAAGTGTAGATTCAGATAACTCACTGAACCACTAATCTCCTGTTAATTTTAAGTGAGGAATGGGAGGTGGGCTAAGAATTACCACACTACATTTTTTTTGTTCTGAAGAATAATTGTAATAGCCAGTATCACATAGTAGTGTCTGTTGCACTGGTGGTAGTTCCAACGCAGAGTGTGATGGTTACATACTCTTGCGTCCAACAAGGGCAGAACGGTGCTCCACAAGGATGTCTCAGCTAACAGAGCCAAGAGTAAGACAAATGCTGAGGCAGGGTTCTCAGTGACAGGACCACAGTCCTTACCAGAGAAAAATCAGACTGACCTCTAGGATGACTTTTCTGATTAAAACACAAGACCAACCTTTTTGCTAAAGCCTTCCCAGGTAACAGCATTTTTTTCATGGCCAATTTAGTGCTACCTAAAAAATTATGCCTGATACTCATAGCATAGCTACAGGCATTTTAGGAATATTTTACATAATATAATCTGAAGTAAAATTTTCCAAAGCACCTAGATGACTTGGGAGTCTAAATTCGACTTAGTCAGTTTTTAAAATGGCATTTCAGCTCCAAAGTCACTTTTGAAAGTGTCTTCTCAGCATTTGACAAACAGTAGATCCAGATTTCCATATAAACACACCAAATAATCTCAAAGCTTCAACATTTACCTAAGGGTCCCTTTGAGTTGGCCACAGGTCATCATCATCTCAGCACCCTGTTTGTAACCCCGATTGAAACCCTGCTGAAGTGAAAGCTCTTTCCCAGCCTCAACACCATCCCTATAGCCTTCCTGTAAGCAAGATGAAAGGTTACTGATGTCAGTAATCCAGCTACAAGCAGAGATTATTTTACAAGAAATAATACAAGAGTTCAAGTCTATATAAACATTCAGTTTTTTTGGAATGTGTCTTTCTAATTTGGCTAGATGCATGCAAAACTTGTATACTGTACTGTCCAGCAGAAATGAGAGATTCACAAAACTAAAAGAACAAAACAAAAACTTTTCTTGATGTTTTATAAACATGGTCATTTTGACTTCCTTTTTCAGAACTATATACAGTGAGGTCAAAATAACTGACTGTACTATAAATATGTTTCTTTATTCTACACACATAGTAACATACATT